GCGCTCCCTGCTCCCTCTCGGAGTTCTCGTCTCTGCGGGTGCCCGGCGGTCGCGCCAGCCCCGCGCCGGTGGCGGCGGCGGCGAGGGAGAAGCCGGGTGTGCGCGCGGGGCCCGGCCGCGCGCGGGGGTGCCCAGAGCGCTGCCGTTACGTGCGGGCCGTCCTTGTGCTTCCTTCCGCGGCCTGGGTGCGGGGCAGGGCCCTGTCCCCGCGGCAGAGGTTTCCCCTCCASCTGAGTCTGTGCTTCGCTGTCAGCGCTGAGCTCTTCTGCATTTAGGGGTCGGCAGCTAACTTTCTTCCTTCAATTAAGCGCTTTGCGAGCAGGACAGTTGCAAAGTGGGTGTCAGTTAAGGAACTGTAAAAAATGAGGAAATTTTAGATAGTAAAATAGAGGAAGTGGCATTTTGGATTCCATGTAGTTATTAGGCAAAATAAAATCCAGTCAGTTTTTTGGTTCAACAAATGGGCGGAGGGCTGTGATGCTCTTTGCAGAGCAGCCCTTACGGYCCTTGGTGCTCTGGGGTCCTGGCGCCTTCGTGCGGGCCCCTCTCCCGGCGSGATGGGTGCCCAGGAGCAGGGAGCGGGTGCTGCAGCGCTCGGGGCCAGCGAATGTCGCTGCACAACCCCCTGCTTCGGGGAGGAACCGGGACGGGGGTTCTGAGGCTGTCGGGGAATAAAACAATAGAACACTTTAAGTATTTTGCAGTATAGCAGTGCAGTCTTCTTACCTGTGTCGTAACTTTGCTCAAGCTTGAGACCTTTCGCTTGCCTTCTGAAGCAATGCAATTGATCCACATATGCCCAGGGAAAAAGGAGGAGAYGTCGCGTCCCTCCAGAGCGCTTCGTTCCGAAGAGGACGAGGCTCCACTTGCCTGGCCAGGCACCGTGTGCTGGTTTCCTCCTTGCCTGCTGTTTAGTTTAGGAGAATTGTAAGGACAGTTCAGTGAGTTCAAAGAGCTCAAACGTTCAAATGATCTTTGAGCAGGTTTTTGCTGATGTTGCGTATCACACTGATATGGGGCATCTGTGGTTAGTAGCACAAATTAGTTTGACTTTAAGAGTTCGTCTAGGTTTGAAGTTTGTCTAGGTTAAACCAGTTTTTTATTTTTATTCTGATTGCTGTGCAGTTCTCTCAAATTTCTGGTGCAGAATCCCATCAAGTAGTCTAGGCTCCAGTTAACATCGTGCGTCACAAAACAACTTTCTCTTCTTCCTTTTTCATTTCATAATAAAAGCTTAAAATAGCATACAGGATTAATAATCATTGGGATTGTCCTGCGTTTAACTTGCACTAAAAAAAGTAGAGCATAAGGATTTAAAAGTAAATTGGGAARTAACATACTAATTAAGAAAAGAAGCCTAGATGGAAAAATATTTTTAAATGTTATATGTAGCATGTCTAAGTTCTGTGAGTAACGAAGCTGTTGAAAATGAAACCCTGAGTAATATGTTAAAAATTCTGTTTCCGCAGATGGACCAGCCGTCTCCAACCTACATGCTTGCCAACCTAACCCACTTGCATTCCGAGCAGCTTCTGCAGGGCTTGAACCTCCTTCGGCAGCATCGCGAGCTCTGTGACATTATCCTGAGAGTTGGCGATGTCAAGATCCACGCCCACAAAGTGGTGCTCGCCAGCATCAGCCCCTACTTCAAAGCCATGTTCACGGGGAACCTCTCCGAGAAGGAGAACTCGGAGGTGGAGTTCCAGTGCGTGGACGAGGCGGCGCTGCAGGCCATAGTGGAGTACGCCTACACGGGCACCGTGTTCATCTCGCAGGACACCGTGGAGTCCCTGCTGCCRGCTGCCAACCTGCTGCAGGTGAAGCTGGTGGTGAAGGAGTGCTGCGCCTTCCTCGAGAGCCAGCTCGACCCCGGCAATTGCATCGGGATTTCTCGCTTTGCCGAGACCTATGGCTGCCACGACCTCTACCTGGCTGCCAACAAGTACATTTGTCAGAACTTTGAAGATGTGTGTCAGACTGAAGAATTTTTCGAGCTCACGCACTCTGAATTGGATGAAATTGTTTCCAATGACTGCTTGAATGTCGTGACAGAAGAGACGGTTTTCTACGCGCTGGAGTCCTGGATCAAGTACGACGTGCAGGAGCGGCAGAAGCACCTGGCGCAGCTGCTGCACTGCGTCCGCTTGCCACTGCTCAGCGTCAAGTTTCTCACGAGGCTGTACGAGGCCAACCATCTCATTCGAGACGACCACACCTGCAAGCACCTGCTGAACGAGGCCCTGAAGTACCACTTCATGCCTGAGCACAGGCTCTCCCACCAGACCATGCTGATGACGAGACCTCGCTGTGCCCCAAAAGTGCTCTGCGCCGTAGGAGGAAAAGCTGGACTGTTTGCTTGTTTGGAAAGGTGAGTGACAGTAAAAGGTCATAAAGCCTTACCCATCTGATTCTGTTGATAATTCTGATGAGAAATGTCACTATTTTCAGTACATGTTTCAGTTTTATGTCCTTGATTTTTTTTTTCCAATTTTTGTAATTCTCACTTATCTACAAATATTACAGACTATCAAATCATAAAATTTTAGCCATGCTTTGTTTGAAAAATGGGGAAGAGTGAGTGGAAAAYGTGCTTCCTGATAACTCAAATGTGCTTGGAATTAGTCAGAGCTAGGAGGTAATTCTTAGTAATGTTAAATTCTTGGATGCAGGATAGCCATGAATTTAACCCTGGCTGCTGAACAAAAGCCCATATCCGTGTTGGCTGGGCCAGGTAAGTGTCCGTCCATCATCTTAGCCCTATTTCTTAGCCCACATCCTTTCCAATAATTGGAGTTATCAAAGACCCAGTAGACTGTTACACCAGTGAAACTCATCTTAGTAAAAGAATTAAATACATAGAAAAATAATATTGTTGCATTTAGCTGTAACACTATATTAACACTCGCAAAAGTGAGGGTTAAACTTTGTGTGGGTGTGTGTATATATAGGTGCATATTTACACCTACACATATAATACCTCAATGTCAAATGCACTCTTAGTAACAGTAAGGAAGAGCTTGCTGTGCCTTTGAAAGCCAGGGAATAGATACATATTTCGTGTTCTTATAGAAGTTCCTAGATGCTAAATTACAGGTTAGCTTTCCTGATCAATAGTGACCAACAGCGAACTAGACTTTGGGTCCAGCAGTTGAGTTGAAAGATTTAAAAAACACAGAGGGTTTTGTGAGTTTAAAACAAATCCGTTTCTGTTCGAGTGAAGTAGTCCTATGATAATGCTTCTTCAGCTCTATCTTTTATAGGTTCTATTGTAACAATATTACACTCCAATGTGTTTTTTTAATTCAAAAATTTTCTTTGTGGCTTTTTACTGTTTGCTGGTGTATATGACTGACTTTCCCTTATTACAGAATCACAGAATATTCAAGGTTGGAAGGGAYCTCTAGAGATCATCTAGTCCAACCTTCCCKCTCAAGCAGGGACACCTAGAGCATGTGGCACAGGGGATTGCTTGAACTAGTCTCTCTTAAGCTGTCGTGTATTTAACTCTAAGCAATTGCTCTTGACATATAGAAATGTTTCAGAGCAGTCAAATTAAGTCAAAATTTAGGTCCTCAATCTTCTCACAATTGAAAGTAGCAATTAGGAAACACTAATTCCACCATTCTGATTTCAATTTTCATTTGTACTTACAAGAAGGCTGATTTTTTTCCCCTTATTGCCAACCACTGCCATATAGTAACAGAATTACTTAGCGTACTTTTAGACTGGGRCTTTTCTACCTGGGCTGCAGCTGTCGAGAGCCAGTCTGGTGTTTCAGCAGTCTCTGCTTCTGGGCTACTAATCGTGGCTTCATCTCCTCAATGGCTTCATTTTCATGTTCTTTTTTTAATTTGTACATATTTTCTTGAATATTAGACATTCATTTCAATTAAGTAGATCATTATCTGAACTGCCTAGGTAGGTTAACTATATTATATACACTGTGRCCTTGGTTGTTCTTGTTTTAAAACTGGGTATAATTTTAAAATAATGCATATAGGCTTAGCTTTTTTAAATATAAGTATTCCAATGTAAGTATTAAGATGCTGTGCTCTATGATGTGTCTTTAAATTATACAGTGTATGTGAAATATGTAATTATAAAGCTACGCATTATACTTTCTAAGTGTGTATTTGTATGCTGCGTGTATATATAGACATGGGCTCCTCCCTTTCTTATCCTCATCTTCTATCTGTCTCATCTCTGTGGCTGTTAGGATTTTTGTGTGGGGGATTTTTTTTTCTTGTTTTTTTTTTTTTTTTTTTTACCCTTCTTACACTTGTGCATGAGCCTGGCAGGAGCAGCCCTTGTGTTCCCGGTGCTGCCCGTGACGGTGCCGTGCCCTCTCCTCCGCGCGCCGGTCTCGCACTCTCCCAGCTCCCCTCTCGGGTTCCGGGCTTCTCGCTGCGGTGCTGTGCAGCCCTTTGCCCTGGGCAGCCCTGGCCTCTGGCCTTCAGAGCAGCAAACGGCTTTGGATAGAGCTCGTGCTCGGCCCCCGGCATGAGCAGCACACGTAGGAGGGGAAATATGAACTGCGCCATTAAAACCCTGCTGCTTTGCCTTTCAGAAACCTGGGATTGCTCATGTGGTCTTTGTTTTTCTGTTTCAGCGTTGAGATGTATTTTCCCCAGAATGACTCCTGGATTGGCCTGGCACCTCTTAGCATCCCCCGCTACGAGTTTGGAATATGTGTCCTAGACCAGAAGATCTACGTTATAGGAGGGATTGCCACCCACGTGTGTCAAGGCATCAGCTACCGMAAGCATGAGAACTCGGTGGAGTGTTGGGACCCTGACACAAACACGTGGACGTCTCTGGAGAGGATGTTTGAGAGCCGGAGTACTCTGGGAGTGGTGGTCCTGGCAGGAGAGCTCTATGCCCTAGGGGGCTACGACGGGCAGTCCTACCTACGGACTGTGGAGAAATACATCCCCAAAGTGAAGGAGTGGCAGCTGGTGGCCCCCATGAACAAAACCCGAAGTTGTTTTGCTGCAGCTGTCCTGGACGGAATGATCTATGCCATTGGTGGCTATGGCCCTGCCCACATGAACAGGTATGTGCTTCCTATAGTGTATCTCAGTATCGTAAGCTAGAAATCAGCAGAGCTCRTTGTGAAGCTTGTGTTCAGCAATCAGTTAAAAAAGGGAGATCCCCAGTGGCCTTCACTATTGCTGGATCCACAGCATCAACCTGATGATTCAGCTGGGAAACTTCTATATGGACCTAACAGTGTTCTTGCTCAGAGCTGCTGCTCAGAGCTTTCTTCATGTTTTTTTAAATGCTCAAGGCAGGAAGGTAAGTGCAGAGCACATCCGCGCAGCGCTGAGCGAGGTGCTGCAGGGTGCCCTGCCTCGCGACCGCTGGAGCTGCTCAGCTGAGCAGAGCAGTGTTCCTGGGCATGTGCCCTGGGCCCCAGGTGCTAGCGCGGTGCCAGCCTGCGCTTACACAGCTCCCCGGGAGACCTGCTTAGCCTCAGCTGTGCTGCTGCTGCTGCCACCACGTGAGCCTTTGCACCTGAATCTGCACAGCGTGAGGGGGCACAGGGCACTTAAACACCTAAAACCTGACTAGAAATGAGCAGCACGGCTCACATGCTGAATGTTCACAATAAACACGTATCTGAACGGGAAGTGGCCGTGGGGAGGGTGGCCCTGCAGCTGCGGCGCGGCAGAGGCATGTGGCTCGTGGGCAGAGCCCCGTGCCCTCTTTGCGAGGAGGCTTCCTGGCACCAGTGCGTCGCCCCCTTCCACGTTGCTCTGCACTGATGCACCAGAACACTTAGCTGTGCAGAGAAACAATTTTTACTCTCCTTTCATCATAAGCATTGGGAATAGATCATCCTTATGTCCCTCCAGGAAGCAAATTTAAACTATAAAGGGCTGAATGAAAGGTAAAATTAAAAGTCCTGCTTGTAGGAAAGCGGGACTTACATTTGATAATGTGATGCATCAGTAGTTTGACCATTTATAGTACAACACTGCATTGGTCATTAATTCTGCTCATTTTTTCATACTTGATGTGCTGTTATCTTCTTCAKAAATACCTTAATATAAAATAGCTCATGCAGCAAAGGATGGGTTTCCGAATAGAAAAGTATAGCTAAGTAATTTTCAAATGGAGAACAAGGAGCATGTTTTAAATTCCTGAAACATGTAATACCCATAACTTAAACGACTTGCTATGGTTGTGATGGGATTTTTTTCTTTTTAAACTCAATATGGCTTTTTAAGAAATCACCATTATACTTTTAGTTTGTAAACTGTAGTAGCAGATGAAAGTGCTTAGGAGACAGGAAAAGCTTCTCTTCAATGTTTTCCATCGACTCAGACTCTCCTCTCGTGGGAAGAGAGCCTGGAATAATTGACGTGCCTGTTCTGCTGCAGTCGCTCTCGGCTCTGTGTGGCCTGTGTGTTGCACGGACCCATTCCCGAGAGCAGCGGATTCGAGGGGCTGGGGCAGCCCCTCCATGACACCCGCTCCACCGGCACCTCCTTGCACAAGTGCACCTTGAGGGCAAGTGATCAAACTCTTGCTGCTGTCAGAAGTGGTGTCCAAAAGATGATTGCTCAGGGTGCGCACAGGCCTCTGATGGCTCAATTCACTTACCTCCTTTCAGGAAATAAAGGTCATCTCTGGCAAAAGAGGAAATGTCTTTAATAAACTGGCATCTTTAAAGGCAAAAAAAAAAAAAATTAAAATTTTGCAGCAGCCTCATTCCTGTGTCATGTTTATCTYTTCCTCAGTCAAAAAGAAATTGCTAGCAACTGCTATAGTGTTACAGAATTGATGGATATTTCAACATTTTCCTTTTTTATTGAATAATTGTGGTGTTGCTGACTTTCAAGCACGAGTAATGTGCTGTGTTGCGCCCTCGTGGCACTCCTACAAGCTGCAAGAATCCACCTGTCCCTTCTCTCCTGCTGCTGCTCCCTGCTCTGCGCTCACATCCCCAGGCCACCCGTGGGACCCTGAGCACTGGCCAGCCCCGGGGCTGGGCAGCCTGGCTTCTCTTGGCTCCTCTCTGCCCTGGGCTGGGGAGCTCTCCCGTACCGCGCGCTGTCAGTGGCGCCCTCCTCGCAGCCTTCCTCAGGGATGTGCTCTGCAAGCGTTTTTCCTCCATCTGTTGTTTTCGGGCAAGCCACAGGGAAGCTTTTTGCTTTGAAGTGTTCCCTAAATGAATTCACTTCAGAGCTGCATAATGTTCAGTTTTTCATGGGTTGCTTTATAAATAGTAGCAGTAATTCGCCTCAAYGTGTAACCTGAAGGTACCTGGCACCAGAGAGCAGCAGAGCTGCAGCTGCCCTGTCAGGAGCAAACACAATCCAGCGCTGCGGCTGCAGCCGAGCACTGTCCACCGCAGGGAGCCTGTGACGGGACACGAGTGTCACCGTCGACCCTGGCTTTGGGGAGGGGTGCTCCTGGTGCAGCGCGAGGCTGCCGAGCTTTGCRTGGGCACGAGCACCTTTGCTTTGTGCCACGTTGTTCTTCTGTGTAATTATATTAACTGCCAGAACCAGATGAGTCTCTGAGAACTGCAGATTTCTTTGCAGGTGTTGTTGAAATCCAAGTCTTACAAGGCATGTGTTTGCATCCACAGCATGGAACGCTATGATCCGAGTAAAAACTCGTGGGAGACAGTAGCATCAATGGCTGATAAACGGATAAACTTYGGCGTGGGTGTCATGCTGGGCTTCATCTTCGTCGTGGGTGGACACAATGGAGTGTCTCACTTGTCGAGCATCGAGAGATACGATCCCCACCAAAACCAGTGGACTGTGTGCAGGCCCATGAAGGAACCCAGGACAGGTGGGGACACGTGGCACTGGGCATTTACCTCGGTAGCAGGAAATTACCATTTGATAGAATAGAAGTCRCAGTAACCAAGGTTGTGGTGACTTCTCTGTAGAGCATTTTTAATCTGTCAGTTGGGCCACAGATTCATAAATCAGTTCTATAAATGAGTATATAAATTACTCAAGTACACACTTCTCTATTTTTTTTATGAAAGTCTGTTTTAGTTTTTATTTGAGCTGTACATAATGTAAGGTGATATTTTTACTCAATTTTCTGTTATTTTTACTAATTTTGAGTGAAGTTCAGCAATCCTCTCATTACTGTTTTATTGCAACTGACTGTATGCGGGGCCTCAGTAACACAGCTTCCCTGCTTGCTGCCTGACCAGTTGCTCTGGGGCGGCAGAGCCTTGTTTTTGCCTAGGGAAGAGGGTGTAAGAAGGAGGCTGAGACTCAAGGGGTCTCCTTAACTTACTCGGTGACTTATTAGGAACAAGAAAGTCCTTGTTAGGAGTAGAAGTCCTGTTTATTTCCACACTTGACAACCRTGTATCTTTCTTTTTGTCTCTCGTTTTCCATAGGAGTGGGTGCAGCTGTAATTGATAACTACCTTTATGTAGTTGGAGGACATTCGGGCTCCTCCTACCTGAACACTGTACAGAAATACGACCCCATCTCGGATTCCTGGCTGGACTCTGCTGGCATGATGTACTGTCGGTGCAATTTTGGTTTGACTGCACTTTGAAAAATAGGAATTTATGGACCTGATGCAAGGAAGGAAATGAATCTGCTCGGAAAGACACCTTGCTCGTGAAGACCATAAGCTGCATTTTCTGGAGGAAAAATGTGGTGAAGTTATGACTGAAATGAGGAAGGATTTGCTTTCTTCCAGTGACTGGCCTTGGTTATTTCAGAGTGAAAGATTTATTGCCAGCTGGGTTTAGAGAGCATCCTGCTCACAGCAGAGCAGTTCAGTGAGTACTGTACATGCCTGGGTTATGGTTAGAAACTTTCTCTCTAACCCGTTCACTTTCTAGAGCTTTTCTCTTCCTCCTGCCTACTCTGAAACAAGAAGTTTACTGTGCTCGGGGTGCGAGGCGTGCGAGTGCGTCGTGTGGCTGGACCGTTTGCTCATAGCTCTCTGGCTGTGTCCTCATGTTCAGAAAATGCCAGTGCTTCATATTTTTTTTATGAACAGTAACTAAAGGGCTGCCTTGTTTCTGTATCTCAAGGTTTGTAAATAGTAGATGCCATAGTGCGTTGCCTGTACATTCCTCTGTTACCCTCTTACCAGTATGGGGGCTGGGATGATAATTGGTAACTACTTAAAGAAATGAATTTACAAGACAAATTTATTGCCTCTTAGGAAATTTTTGGACCTGATAAAGATAGATCACATTTTTAACTTTCCCTTCTATTTTTTTGTGGATAAATAAGAAGTAGATCAAATTACCTACTCTTGCTAGACTGCTGTGTCTTTAATTGTAACACAAAGAACAATTACTGCATTAAGACATCAGAAAGGATCACAGCAGCCTGCGGAGCACGGTGTGAAATAGTGCAGAAGGGCCCCGTCCCCTGCGTGCACCCAGCACAAGGGTGCCGCCTTCCGTACGACTTCCCCTTTGAACAGAATGTACGATTGCTTTTTTGAGTGTTCGGATTAAAAATGGTGCTAAATGTAGGACTTGAGCGAGAAGGCTGTTACTGACGTAGTGCAGTTTGCGTTCAGCATGATCCTTTTGATCGTTCTGGTGTTCCTGTTCTAGTCTGCTTGATCCATTGTGCCTATGAAAACTCTCCAGACGAACACCCTGTGCTCGGTGAGCTCTGCGCTTGTCATGTTCTCCCATAAGGTCTGGTTTTATTGTTCCTGGTCCCTCACGCAGGTGAGTACGTTGCCGAACAGGAAGAGCCCTTCCGTGGTTCTGGAGGCGGCGCTGCCTGTGGCGTCGCTCGCGCTGAACGCGCAGCTCCGGCGCTGCTGATGTGCAGCGCAGTGCAGCGCAGTGCAGTGCAGTGCAGCACGTCACAGGCACGCGCTGCACCGCACCCCGGCCGAGACACGAGGACACCGGACACAAGAGACTTGTCTGGTGCTGTGGCGCCGGCCAGCGTCACCGGGAGGGACGCCGGGGGTATCGCCTTGTTAAAAACACATCACTGAGTAAGTGCTGATCCTGGCTTCCTTAGCATGGTTTTGTTTTGTCTTCTGTTTTTTAACTAGGAATCATGACTGTCTTGAATTTCTGTTTTGTTGTCTGTACAYGCATTGCCAGACCTGGTACTTAAGAAATTTTTTGCCTCTTGTGTTATTTTTTTCTTGTTTTATTATGTTAAATTAATGTTTGYTTTCCCTTGTTTTTCAAACCCATTTAGTATTATTTTTGAAGGTGCAATAATATTCAAACAGTTGCTTTAAAAGCCATTTCTTTATAAGTACGCTAAGTGGAGGTTTTCTGAATGGACTTTATTTATTCTGAGTTCCTGCAAAACTAATTGCAGCCAGGCAATTCCAGGCTGCAGAACAATTTTCCTTGTTCTTCCATAAGCTAACGTTCCGATTTTAAACAGTGARGGAGACGAGGGTGTTTTCATTGTAAAACATCATTCACAGATGATGGGCGTTTGCACAAACTATAAAATCCTGTACGTATTCTTCCCATTTGGTAGAATGAAGCAGGACTTGAAGAGCAAATAAAAATAGCAAGTTCAGCATTTTTATGCTGCTTATTTGACCCTCTAAGGATTCTTCTTATATAGCAATAATAGTGTAACTTAATAGTGTAACTTAATTACTGCAGTAGATCTGCGGATGGGATGGGAAGCGGCTCGGGGTGTCCCGTGGGCTGCCCTCTCGCGCCTGCTCGGGCACCTGCACAGTGAGGGTTTCCATGTGCTGTTTCACTTTGCACTTGCAGTTTCACAGAGATGCCAGTGATCGTCACTTCCAATATACACCGGGTAATAAAGATGCTTAAACTACTATTTAAACTAAAAACAAGAAAAAAAAGTTTGAACCCTCTCACAAGGGTTACCCTGTTGCCTACAAGGCAGGCTGAGATTCAGAAATCACTTTAGCATCAGCACATCAGAAATGCCTTGTTCAGAGGCGTGGGTGGCTACTTGGTGTTGTATAAACATCTTGCATTTATGGAACTGAAGACACTTTCAAAGTGCAAAATGTTTTACTTGCTGGAGCTAGGCAGTGGTGATATTAAATTAGGCTATAGAGTTTGACCAGACTTGTGTAATGTGGTTTTGCTGAACTTAAGATAGATGCATAAACAAGATTATAGTAAGCAGGACTGGTATTGAGAACTGGAAGAAAACCTAATGAAGAGCCCTGCTGTGTTCGGAGGAACTGCAGGGATCAGCCTGAGGGATCSTGTCACTTCATGCCAGCTTTGTTCTCTGTTTTGGGTGGTGCTTGTCCTCTCACTGAAGTGCTTGGTTAGAGGAAGATCAAACACAACAATCGGTYGCAATCAGCATTTAAAGTACAATACTCCACTGTCAGTCTTGCAGTTTAAAAATTAAGGATCCTCAAATAAGATGTCATACACCTATCAATTATCATCCAGTTCTATTTCTTAGTCACCCAAAATTATTTGTGAAGCACTTTAAAATGAGTATGAGTCTGTATGTGTACATATAGTTCCGGGATTTCTGCTTTTATCTTTTTTTTTTCTTTTAATCAAGAAGTGTAAACTTCCTGAAGTCACTCCTGATAGGAATGCTTTTCTTTCAGAAAGTCCAGTGGGAATTTCTAACAGGGCAGTTACGTCCAGGCACGTTACAAGCAGCTAACTCTTCCACGTTACCTTTGTGAATTTGCCATCTGTTAGTCCCCATTCATTCTATGAAACAATGCAAAATGCCCAAGCTTGCCTTAAATTCTTGGTATTTAACTGCAACTCAAAGAACTGGATGATAATTCCTATTTTTGCCTTATGCGCTGTGCTGTATTTTAAACCCAAGATAACTGATTTTTAGCAGGATTTAATAATTGTACAGAGAATACCAAATTGTACTCGGGCTTGGCCAGGGTACTTTGGTTGGGAGTGTAAAATGATGTAAGTAGTTTTGTGTATGTGGAGTGTTTTTACRTGTACATCTTTTTAAATAGCAATGTTCTGTTTTTGTTACTGTTTACAAAAGTGGCATTTGAGTTTAACAGAAAAATAAYTGTAACTTGCATTCTTGTTCTTTACTAGTGTTCCCAACATGTTTGCTATTGTGATAATGCTCTGTAATTAATGTGGTAACGATATTTCATTGAATGTGAAATAATTTAGTAAATAAACCGGGGGAAAAGCTTATTTTTACACTTTTGCTGGGTGGTGAGTACAACCACACTGCAGCTTTGCGCTACTTTCCCCCCACTGCAGCACCCTGAGGTGTTAACTCCAAAGCAGCAGCAGCCCCGCAGCCCAACGAGGCAGACGGTGCCTGCCCAGGCCGTAGCCCCTGCCGAGGGAGAGGGTGTCGCTGCTTGGCTGGACCTTTCCCACCCCAGGAGCTGCAGGTCCCGCTGGTTCCCCCTTCCCTTGGCCAGCGAGTGCACCCTGCAATGGCACTGTCCTCTCCTGCCCTGGTGAGGACACAGCATCGCTTGATAACTTGCAGAAATCCACATATTGTCGAGGTTAAATTATGTTCTTCACAGGTATTTTAGAAGGTGATCTCACCTATGGTGATAGTTTAAGTACCAGGAAAYGGTGCTAGCCTGGCAAGAAGAGTGGAGGAACTGAACACTGGCTGTGGTGCTCGTTGCAGCTGCAGCCAGTGCCAGGCAGTGCTGCCTCCTGAATCCGCTGCATCCTCTCGGATGGATGCAGGAATCCCCTGCATCCATCCRGAGCGAGGGGCAGGGCACAGGGCAGCCTGGCTCGGGCACAGTGCTCCGGAGCTGCCTTCAGTGCAGCTTCCACCCAGCCCTTCACCACTTGTTCCTAGATAGCCTGCTTTTCGGATGTAGAGCATCCTGCCTACGTCTCAGTCTGTCCTTTCTAACATACAACTGTGATATTTCTTGGAAAGCACTCTCCTCATCACCTGTTCTGTCTCCCCGGTAATGAGGGATCGATATTCTTAAGGACAAGGGTGCTCTTGATGCATCAGGCAGCCAGGCTTTGTATTAGCCCCTAGGCAGCTGCTATGCAGGTTTTACTGAATGGTTTGCGAGAAAAAAGGTAACGACAATATGAAAACTGGACTAGCATTCACTGGAATTTCTCTGAGGGTGATTTTTGTTTCTTTCCTTGCCATTAAAGTTCTGTTTTAGAAAATAATAATAATAAATCCAGTTTATTGCCCACTCATAGCTGCATTCACACAGCTACTTAAAAATCCTGGATGAACAAACTACTCTAGTGGGTTAAACCATATGTTTGTCTTTGCTTCTCTACTGTCTGGTCTCCTTGGGTAAGGGCATTGCCGCAGGCACAGTCCAATGAAAGAACCCTCCAGTTYCTCAGCTCCAAGAGCCCATCGTGCTCATTTGCTCTTCTTGGGTCCAGACCCACGTCCCCCCAGCCCGCTCAGAGCGGGAGAGCCAAAATAAGGCAAGCTCCTTAAGCCACAATTCATTTTTTTTTTTCCTGACATCTAATGCTCATTCGTGATTCACCTTGAGCTGCCCTGATTAGGGAATGATGTTTCTCCTCTTCTGCTCTGCAAGTTGATAAGCCAATGCTTTTTTTTTTTTTTTTTTCCATTTCTTTTTATGTTGTAGCATTTTGGGACTAGGTATTTCTACAGGCCATCGACCCACAGAAAGTCTTTGAAAAATCCTATACAAAACTCATCCACTTTGTGAAAGGGTTTTTAGGTTTTTTTTTTTTAAATAAGGAAAAGTGAAATACATTTAGTTCTTGCCCGTATTCCAGCTGCTTTGAAATTAGAAAGAACCCGTTAAGTTAGGAGTCCCGTTTTGTTGCGTGGTTGGATTCGCCGTGGCCGCGCGTTATCGGAGTCGCTTCGGAGCGCAGGTCTCGGAGCACCCGGCGCCGCTCCCCGGCCCCTCCGGGGCGCAGGGCCCCCGGGAGCCGCGCCCTGCCCGGCCGCTGCCTCCGCGCGCGGCGCCGCTTCCCCCGCGGGCCGGGCGCAGGGTGCGGAGCTGCGCGGGAAGGCGGCGGCGCCGGGGAGCGCCCGCCTCGGGAATCCTCCCTGCCGTCCCTCACAGCGGCGCCTCCCTTCCCGCCCAACGGCGGCCCCGCCCCCGCCGCGGCGCCTCCCTTCCCGCCCAACGGCCGCCCCGCCGCGGCCCCGCCCTCGCCGCCGTTTTCGGTCGGTTTTGTCCGTTCGGTTGGCCGGTTTGAGGAAAAAAAAAATTTTGAGGTTTTGTCCCGGGTGGGCGTTTCGGGTCCAGGCGTGCTGCGTGTGGGCAGGTTTCGGCGGCGCCACCGAGCCGGGCCCCGCTGCACCTTCACCCCGGCTGGAAGCGGGTCGCGGGAATAAACGCCAAGCACGTATATATACATACGATCTCTGAGGTGGGGTGAAAATGCTCTTTGCGGTGATGCGTTTGAGCCGGTGCTGGGGAACAAGCGATTGGGAGGAGGCAGGCGCAGCCCTTCTGGTGTCGGCGCACAGGACAGGCCGGCGGCCCTGACCGGCTGCAGCTCTGAGCGCCGCCCGCGCCGCCCCAGAGACGCGGCCGCTTGTCCCCAGGAACAGGGCAGGCTCAGGGCCAAGCCATGTTCTCCTCTGAAATGAACGATTGAAGTCGTTTATGTGCATGCTAACATCTGTAACTGCGGGAAATCTCTTTCCATTTTTTTTCTACTGTTGCACGGTTTCATTTTTGA